GAAATCGGTGTACTTTGCTAATCTTTGCAAATGTCCTTGGGAGTGGACAAAGCCTCCTGTGCTGATGGGAACAAAGTCAACCAAGCTCTTCAGGGTCTCACTCATGTTTCTCTTACACAAGTGAAAGCCTAAGAGTACACTGGGACAGAAAGACTGACATGGCCAGCTTCATTCGCCTCTACTATTAGACATCTGAGTTGTTTTTCCTGACAAGTAAAATCTTGAAGCAAACCAGGCATGATGGCTTAAACCTTTAAACCTCTTATCCCAGCCCCTGGTAAGGCTGAGGCAACTGGGCATAATAGCAGGAGAGTTCTGAGTTCGAGACCATATATATATAACAAGTTCCAGGCCAGCCAGATCTACATGTCGAGCCCCTGTCTTGAAAATAATATTTGTCCAAGAATTTGTGAGTTGACATGATCTCAACCTTTGGTTTCTCTTCATAAGACAATGTTTGTTATTGTTAAAATAAATAATCCTTAGCAAAGTGTTTATAGTTCATTCAGAGAAAGCACTTGGTGCTCAAGGAAAGAATGAAAATGCCCAGCTTTAAAGAAACCATTCATTTACTAGCAAATCTGAGGCTGCTTCCAACCAAGCCTTCCAGATAGATGTCTGCTTCCCTCCATGGCTGCAATGTCCTTCAGAGCTGTTGAGACGCTGCCCTTCAGGTGCCTGAAATTCAGGGAGGGAGTGGGGGAGGGGATTGGAATTTCATACATGGCAGGAAACTCCTTTGTCATTGTAATCTCAACAGCTTTCACTTCAGGAGCTGTTTGACCTGCCCAGTGTGTCAAAAGCCTCTCTGCATTCTGAGAAGGGAGGGTAGCTTTGAGCTCAGGCCCATGACTCACTCATTTTTCCATATGAGAAAAAAAAAAAAAAAAAAATAGGCCTTAAAGCAGGGCGTGTGCTCAACTCCCATTTTCCTATGACTCAAGTTTTCCCAACATAGGGTCATTGTAGACACTTACCCTGGGATGAACTATGGCCAAAGAAATGGTCCGAGGAACCTCCTTTGAGGCACGTGCTGTGTGTGGGGCTTTGCCTTCAGCCTGTACGGTGAACCTTGATACTGCACACTGCCCTACTAACAGTTGAAATGGGCGGCCCGTCTCAGCTGATGGGCAGAACAGTCTGGTGGGTAATTTGCTTAAAAGCCAGTTCTTTTATGAGACTAAACATTCAAGTAAATGAGCTAAATATTGTTGAACTAAGTTTGGGGATTTTTCTCTCTATGTAGCCCTGGCTGTCCTGAAGCTCACTCTGTAGACCAGGCTAGCTTCAAACCCAGAGATCACCTGCCTCTGACTCCTGAGTGCTGGGATTAAAGGTGTGCACCAGCCTTGTGCTTGAGTCCTAAAGCTGCAGAATAAATGAAACTCTCTAGCGCTTGTAAATACCAGTGTCCTGTCACACAGGGGACAAGTCTGAGCAGGCACTGGCTAAGGTTGGCTATGTAAACAAACTTAGATCACTCGGCTGGTGTTTTTCCCAGCTGTTTTTGTATTTGAAGTGAGACAGAAGGGAACACTAGCTCCCATAACTCAGTACATAAAGGAATGGGAAGTTCTCAGTGAACACACTCTGGTCCCCAGCTACTGAATCTCAGGAGGCAAAACTTCAGATCTAATAATACTTAGGGATCAAGGTAGAAGAGGCAGGACACTAAAGTCCCTCTCAAAGACAAATCCATCCTCCCAGAACATAGGATTTTGATGTGCTAAGGTTCCAAATCTGGACAGCAGTGATTTTCTAAGGCTTGTGATTCTTGTAGAGTTGCCCAGAGGCAGGGAGAGAGTAGGCACTTGAGTCATAGTAAGTCAGTCAAGGTTAATTTGAAGGACTGACCGGGTAGAGTGAGGCCAGGCAGGTCAGTGGTGGCACAAGCATTTAAAGACCCCATGACCACCAAAAAAAAAAAAGGCAAGGATATTAGCTAGTGTGGCAGCACATGGCTGTAATCCCAACAATCTGAAGGGGAAAGTAGAAAGTAGGAAGGCTGGAGAGATGGTTCAGTGGTTAAGAATGGTAGCTGCTCTTCCAGAAGACTCGGGTTCAATTCTCAGCACCCACATGGCCGCTTAGAACTGTTTGTAACTCCAGTTCTAGGGGAATCTGACCTCTCTGGGGCATTGTGTGCACCGATACACATGCAGCACCCATACACATAATCATTTTAAAAAGGAGACAATCAGAAGGCGCATGTCTGAGTCCAGCCTGGCCTACATCATGAGACTCTGAGTCAAAAATCAAATAATATTTTTTTTTAAATCATTTGAAACAGTGAACTCCAAAATAAGGAAGTATATGAACATTTTTGCCTTTCCCTACCAGGAACTTACAGTCAACTTATACTTCCTGCTTATGACCGCCTGGGAACCTTAATAGGACCCAGTCCAGATTCGTTTTCCTTCCAGGAAAGGAGAGCCATGTGTCCAACCTCTTGTGGTTCTGAAGTCTGCAGGGCACCTCATTTTCCTAGGTGCCTTATGCTGCCCACGGTGGAAGTGACTTCCATGGAATGGAGTTAAGTAGATATATGTGTTTGTCCCTTTGCAGAACGGCTTCACCCCTCTCCATATCGCCTGCAAAAAGAACCGGATCAGAGTAATGGAACTCCTCTTGAAGCACGGTGCATCTATACAAGCCGTAACCGAGGTGAGAGGAGGGCGCTTTCGGGGTTCAGGGGACAAGAGAGTATAGCATTAGTGGGGGGGGGTGTCCTCCAGGGAAGCAGCTAGTTTTGCTTGTATTATCGTCACAAGCCACGTTCTTCACTCTTCACGGGAAGAGCACTTAAGATTTAGGAGGGAGCAGACATGGGTGTTAATGGGTGGATCAGTCGATGATGTAAATGTACCCGAGAACAGAAATATATTCAGAACACACAAAGAGTGGACTCCACTGTGCAAAGGTGCTCTGAGATAAATCTTGCATTCACTATTTTTCTAGTGGAGGCCAATTTGTTTCATAAAGGGCATTTCATTGTCATCCATTGGGTAGATGCTGGCTGTGTGCACCACCAATGATTCACTTGGCTGCAGCTGGCTAGCTGAAACTGTCAGTGTGCTTAGGCTGAGAAACCTGTTCCTGTGCTATGAGGGAGTAATAAGGACTGTTCTGTGTGGAGGTTTACAGGGAATGAAGTATGGGAGTGCTACAGTTGGGAGCAGAGGAGCCCTGTGTCTTCCCTCTGAACCCGCCCTGACAATCCACTAATTAAGTTGGCACTGGGTATCCACATAGCAAGCAGGCTGGGTTGCCCCACCCGACTCTACCTCTCCACCTTCCCAACTCCAGGAAATCTGCTTGCAAATTCTAGCCTCGGCTCTTCTCCTAGAATAGGTGTATGTGTGGGTCACACTCATTTGCCAGGCTGCTCCTGTGAATCTGGGCCTTCTTTCCCTGGAAATCTGCCCTTACTGCCTGCTGAGCCCTGGGTGCTCTCTATGGGACAGTCACGCGCATGCTTCTATCCTTGCTCTTATCCAGTTGTCTATCTATGACCCCATGGCTCCCGTGACTCCAGAGCCTCCAGACCAAGCCTTCTCTCCTCACAGGCCCACAGTTGAGAAAGTCTTGATGAATGATTGATACCAGACACAAATCTCCTGTAACTGCTGCTTGTAACATGTGGCGTTTTTTTTGTCTTGCCTCGAAACACTTGTAAATCCTCAACACTCTGTGGTTTGAAAAGAAAAACGGTGCAAATCTGTTCGTTCACGAGACTTGTGTCAGTGTGTTAGGTACCGTGGTGTTTTTGTACAGATCAGTGATTGTAGCTCAGCACAGGGAAGCCCTTAGAGGTCAGAATTGACTCCTAGACAAACACTGGACTGAAACTGTTAGTGTGCGGAGATGCTGGCAGCCCTGAGAAGCTGCTACCACACTGCAGCTCCCGAGAACTTGAGAGGGCCCTTCCCTGATACCTGACTCCCTATTCCTGCAAAAGGCTGTCAAACTGTAACAAAAACTCTCCTGTACCCCTCTTCTTCAGTCTTCACTATTTGAAGGCTGGGCAGGCCTCCAAATGTTTGTGTATATATGTATGTGTGTGTATATGTGTATATTGTGTGCATACATATTAGTGTATGTGTTATATGGATATATAGCATATATGTGGATATATAGCATATGTATAGCATGTGTGTGTGTATGTAGAGAGAGAGAGAGTTGAACCTTACCCACGGTAGGCAATACTCTACCACTGAGCTTCAGAACCAGCCATGTCATGTAGTTTTTTGAAATCTCAAATTTTTATAGAGATTAACTACACCTTTTCTCTCTTTATAAAATAAAGGTCAATTTTTCTATTCGTATTTTTGTCAATTTCATATTGTAAGCTAATTTAAGTTTTGAAAATTTAAAATGGCACAAAGTTATGTGAGTAGCACTAGGAAATTGGACTCCTTCGCATGATTCTTGTCTTGAGACTTTTCTCTTTTTGACTTCTCTACTTATAGCTCATCCATGGACATATGCAACATAAAATACCCTAGAACCAATCAGTTCTGCTTTACACTGTTCAGGGAAGGAGGTATACATGTGTACCTACATAGGGTTTGAATCAAACACTATTGTTCTCAATGTGCCTTAAATACATTTCATTCATTTACAATGCTTGTAGAGTTAACATATTGAATGATTGGAGTGCCTTTGTTGGAGGGATGGTTTGCACTGGCTACTTCATACATCGTAGGTTTTATTTATTCAGAGTTCATGGGGATTCCAAGTCCAGAGCAGTATTTGAATCAGTAGTCAGCATTTTACTAGTGTGTATGCTGTTGCCGTGCCTCATATACAAACACACATATGGACGAGAAAAGTCCATAGTAAAGGAAGATTTAAGAATTTTTTCCTAAAACCTTATCAAAAAAGTACAAAATAAATGTTTCTTTCTTTAATAGAGATGTTGTTAAATCTTTCATAATCACAGATATTAATTTAGGGAAGTGACAGTTATGCTGGTACATTCACCTCATAGAGTCTGTGACATACATAATGGTGAATAATTTGATGTCTTTGACCCCTGAACTGGTTAAGATTGATTCGTGGATTGTGGGTGAGAGGATGAATGATGAGTGGATAGAGGAGTGAGTAGATGGATGGATGGATGGATGGATGGATGGATGGATGGATGGATGGATGGATGGATGGATGGATGGATGGATGGATGGATGGATGGATGGATGGATGGATGGATGGATGGATGGATGGATGGATGGATGGATGGATGGATGGATGGGGTGGGTAGATGAGTGGATGGATAGATGCGTGAGTAGTCATGTGGAGTAGTCATTGGTAGATAGATGGAAGCAGACAGTGAGGCAGGCAAGAACATGATCAAGCCCCATGCATGATAAGCCAACAACCAACATTTTCTTCCTTCCACTTTAGTCGGGCCTTACCCCAATCCATGTTGCTGCCTTCATGGGACATGTAAATATCGTGTCACAGCTAATGCATCATGGAGCCTCCCCAAACACCACCAATGTGGTAAGTACCCTTAACAAAGAAATTCAGTTGTGAGTTTTTAAGATGCCAAAAGAGTGACTTACATATTTACTATAAGTAAGATCATTATTTAGTCTTATTACATCAGATATAGAGTTTGAGAACATCTTTGGTTTCCTTTGCTTTGAGGGCAAGATCCAGCCGATATTCACTTGGCTAAAACTGTTAAGATTTAAGACCTGTTCACTAGTATTGCAGGGACATTACTACTGGATACTAGAGAATAAATGCAGTGCTGTGAAGTTCTTTGATAGAATCCATCAAAAGTACTACATTTGGAGGGTGTGATTCACAGTGTCATCATATATGTGAAGAAGTCATTTCACATAACTTCAACATCATCTGCTTTAAGAGGGTTCTACCATGTTGTAGCAAGCCCATGGAAGTCTGAGCAAACTGAATACCAGGCAATGTTTCCCCATGCTGCTCATCACTAATCAAACCCATGAGATGATTTAATTACCGGAGCAGTAACTGCTCACCCTGAGTTTGCTGGGTCTGTTATCCGACATTGTTTTACAGACTTTCAAATTTAACATCATCCCTTTAGCACAATGGACTGCAAGCATAAGACTGCCCATTTAACTCACAGGCAATAAAGAAGTAAGAATAAGCAATATTCATCACAGAGGAGATGTGCCGTGAGGTTTTACACACACACTTGTGTGGGGTTAAATCCAGATGTAATATTCCTTCTTGAAGAACAGAGTGTGACAAAGTAAACATCCATATTCAGCTCCTTCCCAAGAAGCACATGGCACATTTCCTGTGAGGCCACCTTCCTGTTTGTCCATTCAGGTGGATGGCCTGTTGGGCAAAGCTTATTTGATCAAAGTCACTTCAGTGTGGGGTTTGCTTGTGAAAGCTGATTTTTATCATTGTTTATGTGTTGGGGAATGTTCTCTGTCATGTTGTCATTTTTGTTGAATGAATAATCTGAGCTAGAGACTGTTGAGTGAAAGAGTAGAGTGGGGTAGGCCAATGACCCTCAAGATGGTACCAAGAAATGTGATTTTACCTACTTAGGTCACTGGAGTCAAGCAGTATCTGACCTTCAGTGTGGTTTTGAGCCCCCTGTGCAGTGTTTATATTTAATCCTGATAGACAGTATTTAAGAGCTGATAAATTGACACTGATATCCAGATTGCCAGTTCTTTGAAAATAGGATGAGGTACCACGGTGAGCCTGGCATCCAGCACAGTTAGACTACAAATGCAGGTCTGGTAGGCATGGGCCTCTCCCCTTTTCTTGCTCACCTGCCCTGCTTCATCATGCGTGCCTCTTCTCCACCCTGTAAGCATTGGTACCTTTTCAACCCTGAGGATGCCTTGTGGTAGACCCCTGAGCTGTGCTTCTGATAGCTTTGTCAGCTGGGCTCCTCAAGGTTACACCATGTCCTTGACACCCTGGCACAGCTTCCTGGGAAAGTTCTTATGTGTTTATTTTTCTATATTTCCAGCAAGGAAGTGCTCAGGGCAATTCTTTGTTTAAAAATCAGTCACTATAACTTCATGCCAACAAAACATTAATTTTGAGAGTCGCCATTAATTGACTTTGGCTTATGTTTCCCAGAGAGGAGAAACAGCATTGCACATGGCGGCTCGGTCGGGCCAAGCAGAAGTGGTGCGGTATCTGGTACAAGACGGAGCTCAGGTAGAAGCAAAAGCTAAGGTAAGGCCAAGACGGGGAACCTTAAAATTGAAACTAAGGCAGAAGCCTGGAGTTGAGTAAACATTTAGATGAATGCTTACTGTCTCTCAAAAGCACGGTTTTATTCATAAGACCTTCCAGTGATGAAGGTCTCATCCCAGGATCATATAAAAATAATCTACTGTCATAGCCTTTCTGCTGGGTAGCACAGCTATGCAAAATAAGAAAATGTCCTGGGCACGTCCCAAGCCCCAAACAGGTTAGGAACCGGATCTAGGCAGGTTCAGAGCTCTTCATGCTGAGATTATCTTAGGGAGGAAGTTTCTAGGCCAATCACAGCCTATAAACGTGAGTGCACATTTTGGGTTGACTTGTATGTCAGTTGGTACAGCCTCAAAAGGAAAACGGATGTTGTTTTCTTTCCCTTATATAAAATATGAGACCATAATGCCCCAGACATAGATGAGGGCTGTGAAAGACTGGCTCATACCAGAAGTCTGAGCATTTGAGAGGCTGCTCTACCACACATACCCACACCCCTACACCCCTGCCCCAAACTATTTCATGACATTTTGATTCTCCTTCAGTGGCAGTTGTGTGGGGATCCTAGTGTAGCTTCAGACCCTGGTCTAGAAGATCACAGCTATGCTTCCAACTTAGTGAAATGGAAATGACCAGAAAGGCAGTATCTTCTTACTGATAGTAAGAGCCCTTGTATTCATGAGCGCTGACCACAAACAGCATATCTAGTAGATATTGAGATGATATTTATACTTTTAATTTTATGAAGGCGGTATGATGGCTAAGACCAGTCTCCTCAGCTGACTTCCTGAAGTTGAATCTTGAGCCACCAATAAGCAACTGAGTTACACAGGGCAAGTTAATTGATGTTTCTGTGCTACCATTTCCTTATCTAGAATAGAACTGTTTCAATGTTGCTTTTCGTCATCCCAGATATGTAGGTTTATAAAGCAAGACACAACATAAACCCAGTCTTTATGATAGATCATAAACATACTTTATATCAACTCTGTGACATACATAGAACCTCAGCATTTATTCAAATTGAAAGCGATTCTGCATACTAACCATGGATTACTACTTCATTTTTTTCATGAAAAATTAAATCCTGGCTAAATAATTGATACTCCAGGATATAGAACATGTTCAAAGTTTTTCAGAGTTCACCCATACTTTGATTTCATAAATGTCAATGCATGGGACCACTGCTTTGCATAAATGCATGCTATAAAATATTGAGGGCCATTTCAGAAATGGTTGTAAATTCTGTCCTAATTGAGCCAAAAAAAAAAAAAAACCATCTAATAATCGTTTGTGAAACTCAAGTCAGCAACTGAAGCAGTCATTTTAAACATCAGCACTCTGCCACATTCCAGTCCATAGACATACTCATCTGATACTTACATGCTTAGGAATGTCAACAGGAAAATGTTGAAAGTCTTCACTTCCAGTGATGAAACTATGTCTCTGTAAGCGCAGAAAACATTGGATGTGCAGTGAAAAACACTGTGGTTCCTATTGTACAGTAACACAGAATTGAGCCAATGTATCTAAGCAGTGTGTGTTGATGTTGTATGGTGGGACCAATGTGCATCTCAAAGTTCTCATGTTTCATATTCAGAACCAAAGATACAATGGAGCGCTACCAGGGACATGGGCAGGCACTGACAGAAGAAGCCCTTCATACCTGTGTGTTTTTTTAATTAATTTTTGGTTACTGTGGGTCAGGAAGCCCTCGTTGAGTTTAGTAACCTCACATGAGGATGTGACCCACGGTCAAGAGTTCTCAAACAAGACATACAGTAATGACTTCTGTAAAGATGTCTGAGATATTATGGGTGGGATACTCCAAACAGGGCCTGTGGAATGGATGGCAGCAAAGTTCTGGGGTTGAGGCAGCCATGACAGAGGGGTGTGAACCTTTCCTTTGGTTTTTCTGTCCCCAGGATTCTTCCTGCATCTTGGTGTCCCCTCTCATTGCTGGTATTAGTTACTTTCCTCATTGCTACACCCAGATGTTTGAAAAGAATGGATTTAAGGGAGAAATAGTTTATTGTGAGTTATGGTTCAAAGGGGTTCATTCCACATTGATGGAAAAGACACAGCATGGCAGCTGGAGGCTAGCTGGTCATGCGTCTGCAGTCCAGAAAGCAGACAATGAAGAGGAAATGAAGTTGGGCTATCAAGCCTCAGGGCTCAACCCCAGTGACCCACTTACCCTTCTCCCACCATGAGGCTGTAGTTCCCAAAGATTCCACAGCCTTCCCAGACAGTGCCACCAGCCGAGGAGCAAGTGCTCAAACACATGAGCCTGTAAGGGACACTTCAGGGCCAACCCACATGAACCCCCTATGCTTCCTATTGGCTGTGTAGTCTCTCTGGCATTGTTTTCAACCTTCACGCAAAGAAGTACCTATATTCTGTTTTACCCTTCTCTCTGCCTCTCCTGCCAGAGAGACCTAAAGAAATGCTACATTTCAGTGGGTATTTCACTTAGAGAAGTGACACGGGGCACTTGGGGGTACCTATCTGGACAGGTTAGGAAGAGGTGGCTCTCCCACTTGTCTCAAGTGTCCTCGGGTGCAGGCCTCAGTGCATGCCTTTGGGTGAACTGTAATCAGTTAGCCCTTTGTTGTAGTCAGATGCAGCCCTTGCTGCCAGGATGCACAGCTTGACAAACCCCAGAAGCAGGACCCCAGCAGGGCCCTATTTTACCTTCCTTAGCTTTTGACTGTGGGGAAAGGGTGGCATCAGTGAAGCACTACAGTCATGTTGGGATGGTTTTCAGGAGTAAGAATAACTGCCAGGCATTTGAGTTTCATTAAGATTTATTTTCATTCCCCCTAGCCCATGCCCGCCTCCAAGAGTCACTATAGATTAAAACCGATGTTCTGTGGCAGGTAATGAGGAGATAATGCACAGGTGGAACTCCCTTCCATATTCTTGAACAAAAAGTCTAAGGGCCTTTAAGATCCTCCATCCTTGAATTTCCAAACCTTGTTGAAATAGAGAACCGAGGTTCCTTTCAGCAATGAATTAGCGTTGTACATACCTCAGACATGGGGCAGCTAACGTTCCCTGCATTTTTCATATGGCATCATTGCTTTGCAAGCTCACTAACCTTGTGTCTCTACCTTGCATTTAGGATGACCAGACCCCACTCCACATTTCAGCCAGACTGGGGAAGGCGGATATAGTGCAGCAATTGTTGCAGCAAGGAGCATCTCCCAATGCAGCAACAACTTCCGGGTACACCCCGCTTCACCTTTCGGCCCGAGAGGGGCATGAGGATGTAGCTGTGTTCCTTCTGGACCATGGAGCATCTTTATCCATAACAACAAAGGTATGGGGGCTTGGCTCCTGAAGCACGCCCTCCTTGGAGTCTCCGAACAGTGATGGGTTAAGAGGCTGTGGTTCTGTGTCTATAGTTAGACCCCCTCAGGCTGGTCATGGATGTGGCCAGAGAAGCCTTGTTCAGCAGGGAATTAATTCTTCATGTTTGAGGAATTTTCTTTTGTTCTTATGTTTCTCAATATGTCATCTTGTAAAGCTACCTTAATGACATCTAAAATGGGGGGACATTGTTTTGTTTTGTTCTGTTTTGTTTTTGTTTGGGGGAGTTACTTGTTTGTTTGTTTGTTTGTTTTTTGAAAATTACTTGAGAGGTTTAAATGGCAGTTTGGACCACACCTACTGATTTCCTTTGCTGGGATCAAAAACATAAGCCACACTACAAAATTCAGTCCATTGGTGCCTCTGTACAACTTCCTTTTTTTGTTTGTTTGTTTGTTTTGTTTTGTTTTGTTTTTGTTTGAGTCGGGGTTTCTCTATGTAGCCCCAACTGTCCTGAAACTCACTCTATACAAGAGGTTCACCTGCCTCTGCCTTCTGGTGCTGGAATTAATGGTATGTGCCACCACCTCTTGGCTCCTGTACAACCTTCAAATAGGGAGAGGATTTTCTTATTTCTGGTTGTTTTTGCTTTTATTTTTGTTATAGTTGTTTGATTTACCATTTGACATCTTGGTGTCTTCAAGTAATATCCTCCCATGGCTGTAATTGCACATAGAATGCAAAGTTGGTTTGTTTCTTTATCTGATTTTTATAAGTACTACATGGACATAACAAATGTAGCAGCAAGACAAACTGGCCTATGACATGTCTTGGGAAGAGAGTGATGGGTACTGTAATCTCTTTTCTGGCTATGGATAAGAAGAACTAGTGTATAAATTATACAACAATGATTATAAGAAATGCTTGAATAAATAGTGACTACCCCAAACTTCATCTCCCATGATTCCTTGGGCTCTTTAGGAGACACAAGTCACACATCACAGGTTCCTGTATGCCATTTAGGATGTGAAACAGAATAATGACTGATGGGGGTCACAGAGCATCCTTGGTCCTCCTCCATCCCAGCTGCCCACTGGCTCTAGGTAACGGTAGTCTTGTGATACAGTATATGTTGGACATGTTTCAATCTGATGAAATCCTCTCTAAGGTTGTGTGTTGGCCAACAGGTTGATGTCTAGATCCTTGCTGGGCATGGAATCATGGGAGTTCAGCCAGGAACTCTAAGCATCCAAGTCTTCTCTTTTGCTGTTTCTGTCCCCAGAGGCTGGTTCCTCCTTTCCTCTCCCCAATTTTCCCATTCACTTTCTCCCCATAAAAAAAAACCTCCACACAAGCTCTGTTGCATGGCGTCTTCTAAATAACAACAGTGTGTACAAAGACATTGTGAGTATTGTTGGGGAAGCAGGGAAAGGGGGAAATGAACATGCCCTCTGCTGATGTGAGCCTGGATTTGATATGATGTTTCCCAAGTGTAGGGGGATTTTTCCTTTGGCCTCCAGCTCACAAAAAAAAAAAAAAAAAAAAAAAAAGATAGAGACTTACTATTGATTATGAAAGTTTGGCCTAAAGGTTAGGCTTGTGTCACTAGCTCTTAAACTTAAATTAACCCATTTATATTAGCTATGTTTTGCCTCTTGGCTTTTTTCCTATCTTCCATCTTGGACCTCCTGTTTCCTCTCTGTGTCCTCTGGCATCTTTCCACTACCTAGATTCATCTCCTCTCCCTCTTTCTCTGCTGGGAAGTCCTACCTACCCTCTTCCTGCCCAGCTGTTGGCCATTCAGCTCTTTATTAAACCAGTCAGAAGGTGCCTTGGCAAAGACACATCTTCACAGTGTACAAAAAGGTTATTCCATAACACCCAAGCACACCAACGTGGGCCTAGAGTGGGGCCTGTGCAAGCCTTTCTTCCCATAGTGTGACACCCCCAAATGGCCCTGGAATAATTACCAGATCTGACTTTTTCAGACACATCTGATTAGTTCCCAAATAAGTGAACAGTGTGGTTTGCTCAGCAAAGGGGAAAACATTCTCTGTCTTCAGAGGTGGCCAGCCTTTTGACACCATAGACAACCCTATGGTCTAAAACTGTGTTAGGCCACAATCACAGCTAATTTGAGACACCTATGGCCCCACGGGCTGCAGGTTAGACACGCCTGTTAGGGGTAGTCTGCTTGTTGCTATGGATTGAGGAGTCTTCGGTTGTGACGTGCTACCCGGGTCTTTACCCATACTTGTAACTCATCTTCATCACAAGAATAAGCCATCAGCCCCAAGAAGGCCTCCTCTGTGTCACCTCCATTCATGATGTTTTTCTGTTTCCTTCCTCAGAAGGGATTCACTCCTCTCCATGTAGCTGCAAAATACGGAAAGCTTGAAGTAGCAAACCTCCTGTTGCAGAAGAGTGCATCTCCGGATGCTGCTGGGAAGGTAAGACATCGCCGGCCACCCTGTAGCAGGCAGGCCACTTCCACAATAACAAACCAGCACTTGCTAATAACCCCACCTGGCTCCCAGCCACTTTGATGGTAACTAGGCCATACTGAAGTCTTGCTAGAGTGAAGATTACTTGGGATCAGGTGAGAACGCCGGGTCCACATACAATGGAACCTGAATGTGAATGTTACTATCTGTTGTATGCAGTCTAACCCCATTTCCTAAATCTAGGACTCTCCTACTAAGACACCTTTGACCCTGGTTGTTGTCTCTGCACGTGTGTTTTCAGAGCGGGCTAACTCCACTGCATGTAGCCGCACACTACGATAACCAGAAAGTGGCCCTTCTGCTTTTGGACCAGGGAGCCTCACCTCACGCAGCTGCAAAGGTACTTGTCATTCACGGCCTAAGAACTGAGTGTGCGTCATCCATCCATCTCTCCACAAGGAGCCCCTCTTGCTAATTCTGTAGTGTCCTCATTGTTTAGACCTGGCTTATAAAAACGGCAGACAGAAAGGCCAAGATGTATGTGTTTCGCTATACAGTCACCTCTCATGGTAGATACTCAATAAATACATACTTGTCAGCTGATTTCCTTGGGCTATCCAGGACATCCTGGAACAGTGGGAGGGCAGGGAGCTGGAATATTCCTCAGCCAGCTGTAGGCAAGACCCTAATTAAATGCTCTTTTTTATAATCTGCCTTGGCCCTGGTGACTCTTTGCAGCAATAGTAAAGTAACCAAGACAATATACTTGTGCTTGTAGGACTGTGTTTCTAAGTAGCCCCAGATTCTTGGGTTCACAGTGTATATGACAATATAATATATATAATCTAGCTGTTCTCATATGGGGCTTACACTAGTGCTAGTCAGGCTAGAAGTAGCAGTAAGTACGGAATGGTATGTGTGAAGAAATGAGTCTGGTCCATCTTTATGTTCATAAACAAACAGGTCAGAGATGCAGGCTGTGGCTCAGTGGTAGAGTTCTTGCCTAGCATGCACACAGCCCTGGGTTCAGTATTAAGCACCACATAAACCAAGTGCAGTGGCATACACCTGTAATCACGTCGCCTTGGAGATGGAGGTGGGAAGATGAGACATTCAAGGTTCCCCTCCCCTTGGGTACATAGTGGAGTAGAAGGCTAGCCCAGAATACCTAAGACCCTATTTCGGTAAAATAAAATAAACAGGCAGTATCCAACCTTGCAGCTATCAAACAAAATTTAGGAGAAATGTTTTCAAATTTACAAAGTATCATTGAGGAGGAGTTAAAGAGCAAGCCAGGTAAGTAATAACTCTGTTGATGTCCCATTAGCCTGAGGCCACAGTCAATTAAGCACCAACTTTTCTAATGGGACGTTGATCTTCAGTATCATTGCCTAGGCCAGTGCTTGTGTCTTGACATCCCTGTAACACCATCTTCAGAACAGTGGTGCTAGCCGGGGACTTTGTACATTTTGATCCTGACCAGACCATTTATCTCAGCTGCTGGTGACTTTATCTAGGGGAACCGTCCTTCATACAGTGGTTTGAAAAGCTCTATCTCCTGCCCACAGGCAGCAAACACAGAACTTGGTTGTGCCATTTAAAGTAGCAAGTCCACAGACAGCAGAACTATCCCAGAAGCTCTACCAACTCTGTTTTTGATACCTCATTGGCTACTTTTTAAGTGCAAGAGATGCTGGGAAATTCAGTTTTCTGTGGGGCACAGTTTTCTTTCACTAAAAAGAATGCACAGAGCCTCTGCTGCTTTTACTCCTGGAAGTTCAGGTCCTGAATTTCCAGACAGAGCTTCAGAGGCTGCCATTAGTATCCCAGCTGCACCCTCCATGCACACCCTTCTCCTTACCTCCTCTCAAAATTGTCAGCACCTTGCACATGTCCTAGAATAATGACTTATGACTTTATATGACTGGGTTGCTAAAAAATACATATGCTAAGGGATGATGGAATACTAATATTCTTTTTTTTTTTTTTACCAGATTTGTTCCTAGAGATAGGATGCTATGCTAGAAAGGAACTTAGCTTGGTTGCTGGCAAAATGGAGAGGCTAATTAGAAAGCAACAGTGAGCCTGAACTAATTGGTTATGCTTCTATAAATTGTGCAGCATCCTTCTTTAATATATATATGTGTGTGTGTGTGTGTGTGTGTGTGTGTGTGTGTGTGTGTGTATGAACTGACTTGAGGGGCAATGTCAATAGGATGTAAATACCATCTATTGCTTTTGATAGCTATTTTTAGTGTGATATGCATAGGTTCACATGACACATATTTTGTCTTCAACAAGAATATGTGGAAGTAGAGCTAGAGATGGCTTAGTAGTCAGGGACACTTTGTTCTCTTGCAAGAGGACCTGGGTTCAATTCCCGGCACCCACATGGCAGCTAACAGCAGTCTATAACTGGTTTCAGCAATCCATCGACCTATGCCCTCTTCTGGCCTCTGAGGGTACAAGGCATGTACATGGTACACATATACACATAAAATAATAAAAATAAAGTGTGAGAAAGGAAAGATGCAAGATAATTCTATGGTTGGGCTGAAGAGATGTCTTGGTGGTTAAGAGCCTGCTGCTCCTGCAGAGGCCAGAGTTTGGGTCCCATCATCCACACCAGGGAGTTCATGACCCCTTGTAGCTGTCGTCCCTGTAGATCCAAGGGCATCCTCTGGCCTTTGTGGGCACCTTCATTCACACATACTCGTAATTAAAAGCTTTTTTAAAAAAAAATAGTAATATCTTTGAAAACATCATTCTATAATTGACTCTCCCTGGTTGGTTTATCAAATTAATACATGTTCCCTGAGTATAGGAATGAAGTATCATTTAGCTTTCCTGAAAATAGAGCTTAGGAAAATCAGAATTGTACTGTGGGTCTCTGGACGAATTCTTTGCCACTTTTTCAGAGTACCCTGAGAGTTTCTGAGATCTTGGTTTTCTTACCTGAGAGACTCATTTGTACCTCAGAAGAAACCAGGATGCCTCTCTAAGCAGTGGTTCTCAACCTGTGGGTCGTGACCCTTTGGGAGGAGGATTGAATGATCTTTTCACAGGGGTTGCCTAAGACCATCTGCATCGGAAAACACAGATATTTACCTTACAATTCAGAACAGCAGCAAAATTGTAGTTAGGAAGTAGCAACAAAAATAATTGTATGGTTGGCAGGGCGTGGGGTGGGGTCACCACAATATGAGGGACTGTAATAAAGGGTCGCAGCCTTAGGAAGGTTGAGAACCAAAAAGAATAATATGTACCGGTCAGGCAGTGGGTGGCACATATTTTAATTCAAGATCTAGGGTGGCAGAGGCAGATGGATTTCTGTGAGTTCCAGGCCAACCTGGACTACAGATCAAGATCCAGGCTACACAGAGAAACCCTGTCTCAACAAACAAACAAACAAACAAACAAACAAAAATGTATCTTGTCTAGACCTGGCACACATTACAGAATTGCTAGAGCTCTTTAGATAATTGTTTCTTAGGACCTAGAATTTGTGAGTTGTGTTAGAAGATAGCAAGATTGTCATGTCTGAAAGGATAGCAAATTGCCCTGCACTGGCTGGGACTGAAAAGTGACTAACTCATGGTCTTTTCTTTCCTCTTTTATTGATGTTTGTTTGTTTTTGAGACAGGGTCTCACCATGTAGCCCAGGCAGGCCTCAGCTTCGAAAGTACTGGAATTAAAAGCATGCAATACCACCCATCTCAGCTAAATGCCCTTGTAAAAGAAAAACTACAGATGATAGCTGATAAGGACATCTGCATGCCTTTACCGCCCACACTGTTAGTGTTAGGCATATTGACTGATCCTGATTCTTCTATTCCTGCTGCTCTGTGAAATTTCTCTTTTGTGGAGAGATGGAAGGTAGCTAGCTGTCTCCCACCCTCATGCCTTACTCTGTAGCCTTGGACACAGTCCAGTGCTCTGCTGGGCTGCAGAAGCATTGGTCTCTGAAGGATGTGTCTGAGCATTTGGTCAGAGGGCCAAATGCTTCTCAGGGTAGCTGGTATTTCCACATGGCATAGGTCAAGCCTAAAAATAGGAATATAAAACCTCCTCCTGCCCTGGCTTAGCTAGTCCGAGGACTCTAGAGGTGACATTTCCACTTGCCATGACCAAGTTCATGTCCATATCATAGTGCAATCTTGCATTTCTCACAAGTGGCAAAATCCCAAAAGCACTTTTTCAGGTCAGACACTCAGGGCTCCTGAGGCCTAACTGATCAACAGGGAACTTTGTCTGCAGCTGAGCATCAGGGGCCAACTGAGAGAAGGATGGCCGACTTTTCTGACAGGGTTAGTGTGTCTGATTCTGAATGTGGAGGCTTCTTTCTTCATGTAATCTACATGTACCTATTATGTTGAAACATGTGCCATGAGGGCATCACAGCCCTTGCCCCCAATAGCTGAAGACTACAATAAGTAATAAGTAGGTAAATAAGAGCACACCATTAAATTATCCAGCACTGAGGTTAAAGACAAAGTGTTTGCTGGGTGTTGGAAACTGATCGGTGAAGAGTCAGCCCACTTCATTGAGGGCGTGGACCTTGAGTTGAATTTTCAACTGCTACTTGCCATCTTCATAGGCAGGCTGTGGGGAAAGCATTCTTAGTAGAATGAGGCAAACCACGGAAACCTGAAACAATAACCTCTCCGGACACCCACAGGGTGATGGGTCTGGCTATCATCAAGTACAGACAGACAGACCACCAGGAATCAATGAGAAAAAGCAACTGCTGAAAAGATTAAAGATTGCAACCTTGCGGGCAGTACATGGTGTCTTTGTTCTTTGGGGACTGCTCCTGCATCACACTGAGAAGGAGCAAAGGATTTCTCAGTTCTGGAGGCTAGCAACGCCAAGATTGAGGAGTTCACATCCTGCAAGGGATTTGTCGCTGTGTCTGTCCCATGGCAGAAAGTGGAAGGACAAAGAGTCGGGGAACTAAACCCTTCTCAGGAGCTTATTCTGCCTATGGCCCACCCCCTCCACCAACCACTCCCTGCATAGCCCACCCCTTCTACAACCCACTCCCTCCACAGCTCACTTCTTTCACAACCCACTCCCCCCTCGGCCCCCTCTCTCCATCTCAGCTTCAAGGGCATTCTTGAAGAGCAAGTCTTCCTGCATCCTCACCACCTCTTACAGGTTCCACCTCCTGTTGCATTGGGTGTAGAGTCTCCCACACACAAAGACAAGGGACACCTTTCAAACCATAAGAGACACTAAACTGATTTGAAGAATAGAATTTTGGATGACTCTGAGCATGCACCCAGGATAGTGTATGGCTTGTTCCTCTAACCCTGGTTGAAGTACAGCAATATTTATTGAGCACCTACTATCATAGATTTCCTTTTCGAAAACCAATAGTGTGCCAACTCTGTTATTTTAGATTGCAGTTTTCCGCACTCAGAACTGCACTAATGATATTATTATCTGATTTAGCACCATTCCTTTACTTCTCCATAGGTTTTCATACAGTTTGTGCAATCCATTAGAAAGGGAAGCATACTGTTTGAAAATGCATGGTATACATTTTTTTCTTGGTACTAGACATGACCAAGTGATTTGTCTTGACAGAATGGTTATACGCCACTGCACATTGCTGCCAAGAAGAACCAGATGGACATAGCGACTTCTCTGCTGGAGTATGGTGCTGATGCAAATGCGGTTACCCGGCAAGGGATTGCTTCCGTCCATCTTGCAGCTCAGGAAGGGCACGTGGACATGGTTTCGCTGCTCCTCAGTAGAAATGCCAATGTGAACCTGAGCAATAAGGTAACTTTCTTCTTGTTCTTCTGCAAAACATACAATACAATAGAAATCAAATCCTCAGAAAAGTCTAAATATTGATCAAAATTTTGGAGTCAATAGAATTTGCAAGGCTGGCAAGATGGCTTAGCAGGCTAAGGTATTTGTTGACAAGCCTGATGACTTAAGTTCCATCCCCAAATCCACATGGTGGAAGGAGAGCACCAACTCACATAAGTTCATTACTGTCACATAATACTATACACTATATAATAGTTATCATTGACTTTTTGTTGACATTAGCACTGCCAATAATATATTAAAACTCCAGTGTGACTTTTTAGAGTCTTTGATGTTTAGTGATGAGCGCCCACATATATTGGGAGAAGGCAGTATGCTCTCTTATCTTTGCTTTAAAAATGTCACTACAAAGAGGTGAATGAGAAGGAAGGCGGGACCAGATGGATCAAATGTCACAGTCCTGAGCAATATCAAGTCTATGGTGAGCATCCCCTGCCACTCTGGGGCACTGACATTTTTTTATGAAGCCTGTAGTCAGTACTGCTGACATAGGATGCACACAGAGTGGCCCATATCCTTACTCTGTAGGTTTCCTATTTTAAGACTCAAGGCTAACTCTCCTAGAATTCACATGCCAGATCTCAAACCCAGCCGCATGCATGCACCCACCCCTCTGTATGACTGACAACCATACCCTTGAAATCTCTTGCAGAATGGCCTCACCCCACTCCATCTGGCTGCTCAAGAAGACAGAGTGAATGTGGCTGAAGTCCTCGTCAACCAAGGGGCCCATGTAGATGCACAGACAAAGGTATAATCACCTTTCCCATGCAGCAAGGAAGGAACCCTACCACCAAGTGCCCCTGGGGTGATGGATCTCAGTAGGAAATCTGCAGCCATGGCATAGTCAGAAAACTGCCCTGATCCTGTCAGCCATAGACAGCACTTTCATTCAAGGGCCAGTCTCTGGCCATGGCATTTCAGACACTCTCATCTTTATTGGCCCAAGTTCTTCTTTAGCTGCATGTCAATATATCCTATATTTTTACCTGGAATCCCGTCACAAATCTGCTTTGGGGGCAGTGTGTAGGTTTTGTGAGTGACTGAAAAAAGAAAAAAAAAAAAAAACAAAGAAACAAAGAGGAAAAGTTGGTGGCAATTGAGGCCTATTCTGTGTGAATAATGAAAAAGCCATGAATTGTTATCCAGTTGTTCACTTCACTGGTCTCATATTGTGTGTGCAGCTGACCTGTGATTTCTCATACTTTATTTTCCTCTCTTTCCCTCTGACAAAATACTGGTTTCAAAAAGAAAGGAAATGGCGGGGCAGTGGTGGTGCACACCTTTAATCTCAGCACTTGGGAGGCAGAGGCAGGCGGATCTCTGTGAGTTCGAGACCAGCTTGGTCTACAAGAGATAGTTCCAGGACAGCCTCCTAAGCCATAGAGAAACCTTGCCTCGAAACCCCCCAACCCTCCCTCCAAAAAAAAAAAGAAAGAAAGAAAGGAAATGCTGACTAATATCATATAATGCCACAGTTCAAGCACAGATTTAAAAAATGGGTATTCTGTGTGACTATAAAAGATATGATTTTGTGTGTATCTCTTTTCTCTGAACATTTGAGACAGGGTCTCTTTATGTACTCTAGCTGCCTAAAACTCACTGTGTAGACCAGGCAGGCCTCAAACTCACATAGACCCACCTGCCACTCCTTCCCAAGTGCTGGGATTAAAGGTATGGTCTACTACACCATTCTTCCCTAACATGTGCCAGTTTATTACAGGGAAAGAATGATGAGCTGGTCATGGTGGTTCATCCCTGTAATCTTGGCACTTGGTAAGCCGAGGCAGGTGGAGTGCCACAAGTTCAAAGGCAGCCTGCGCTCTATAGTGAGTTCCATGCTGAGTTTTCAGCATGTGAAACCCTGTTCCAAAGACATGAGTGCCTGTTAAAATGTCATGGTCTACATAGAAACATTCCTGTACATTTATGGATTAGTTCTGAATACAATCAGGGAAAGTTTTGAGATGAGTGCAGATCACTGACTTGTACTCAAATACACAAAACACACACACACACTTGTGCATGCACACACACACACACACACACACACACACACGCACACACACAATAAATAAGCAAATGTAAATTTTTAGTTTAAGAGGCTATTTATAGAACTTTTTCAGTATTCTATGGATTTTTATAAACCATATTACCTACTAACATTCTTCTACTTATTCCTTTACTTATTTTAGAGCACTGGGAGTCAAACCCAGTGCCTTGTACACGCTAGGCAAGCACACAGCCATGGAACTAGCCCCTGAGTAATAGTAAGCATTGTCAAGCAGCTAGTTGTGGCAATATTAAAAGATTGCTCAACACCTGTTAAATTAGCAAGCAGTCTTTACAAGCAAACAGACTGTTGCTGTACAGAAGCTGCAGCTGTAGGTGAAGGTGTCCCCAAGGAAGACTGCTCAGTGCAGAGAGAGCCCAGGGCTGACACCTGGAGAGCAGCTGACCTTAAGATGTGGACAAGAAAGTGAGAGTTTCGTTCTATGAGCAAGTTGTGCTGCATAGACAGCATGTGGAGGTGGTAAATGAAATCTCTGACGAAGCACCACAAAAATACCAGCCTGAGCCTGTCACCTCTCCCCCGTGCATGTATTTGGGAGGTGTGTTCATGCATGGTGTATGCCTACCTGTGGCTTTGCATGCATATGTGGGCATGTGTGGAGGCCAGATGTCTGGAATCTTCTCTGTCTGCTCCCCGCCTTATTTGTTTTTGAGAAGGGGTCTCACCCTAAACCTGAACCTTGCCATTTCAGCTAGACTAGCTGGCCAGCAAGCTCCACCTTTCCCACCCTCCTAACACTGGAATCACAAGCACAGGAGGCCAGGTCTGGCTTCTGTCATTTCGTCTTACACAAACATACCTGTCCAGTTTAACAAGTATGACAGTCAGCCCTCTCTTGTTTCTTATTTTCCTTCATCAAGCCCTTATTTAGCAAAATTTTACAATATCTACTGAGCACCTGTGATGTGCAGGAGATAGTGATAGCGAACACTATGCACCAAGCACTTTCTAAAGAATCTGACTATCTGGAGAGGATTTCCCAAGTTGCGTGTCTCTAGGCATGTTTTTGCACAGTGCCATTTTGTCTGGGAATCCTGGGAATGAAAGATCCCATCTCTGTTGAGTACAAGGTGAATCTTCTTGACTGTGCACACATTTTAAAAAGTATCTATTATATTTTGTACTTGTGATGTATGTGCAAGTTCAGGATATCAACTACAGCATATATGTGAATATCAGAAGGCTTTTGAAAGTCAGGTCTATCCTTCAATCATGGGTTCCAGAGATGGAACTTGAACTCAGGTCATCAGGCTTGGCAGCAACCATTCAAACCTGGTGAGCCATTTCACTGGCCCCCATGCACACGCATTTTAAACAAAGGCCTTGGGACAGCAAGAAGGCTAGTGTCTCAGACAGAATAGTAGAGATGACCTCAGTTCATAGACAGGAGGGGTACAGGGGAAGACCACAGTCACATAAGCCTATCAGTCCATTGTAACAACTTAGTGTTTTACCCAGAGCAGGTAGAGAAACTATACATTTAAATGCCATGTTTGAATATTCAAAGTGACTCATTCTCTAAACCTACAACATTTGACACAAGAGTAGCTGGAGAACAGTGTGCTATTATGTAAGTTAAAAACATGAACAAGCCAGGTGGTGGTGGCAGTGGCTCATGTATTTAACTCCAGCAGTCGGGAGGCAGAAGCAGGTGGATCTCTAAGTCTACAGAGCTAGTTCTAAGACAGCCAACACTATACAAACCTGCTTGAAAAACAAAGCAAACAAAAATAAAACCATGAAGAATATTTTAATACTAATATTACCTCTTTTCCACTGAGCTTAGAATAAAGGTTTTTATTTTTTTAAGATTTATTTATTTAGTATGTATACAGTGTTCTGTCTGCATGTGTGCCTACAGGTCAGAAGAGGGCACCAGAACTCATTACAGATGGTTGTGAGCCACCATGTGGTTGCTGGGAATTGAACTCAGGACCTCTGGAAGAGCTGCCAGTGCGCTTAGCCTCCGAGCTGTCTCTCCAGCCCCGAATAAAGTTTTTTTTTTTTTTTTTTTTTTAGATAGCTAAATTGATGGTGCTAAGAACTGAGTGGACTCTACACTCAGGTCTCAGCATTCTGACCATGGGTGCCATGTCTGATTCCTCAGCACTGAGGAGGAGGAACTCCACTGAGCAGAACAGTCATACTGAGCACCACCTAGGGAAATCTACCATCACTCAGGAAAGGGTCCAGTCTGGTGACTGTACCAAAAGAGTCTCATCAGTGTAGCTGGAGTCTCTGACAGTTTGTGGAGCAAACTGTGACCAGAGCCAGTCAGTATGTCTATCAAAATGTGTTTTCACCTTCCACTGTCAACTGTGGTCTAGGTGTTCCCTTTTTATATGTATGGGAGTTTTGCCTATATGTTTGTGCACCGTGCATGTGCCTGGTGCCAGCACAGGCCAGAAGAGAGCATCAGATCCCCATAAGCTAGAGTTACAGACAGTTGTGAGCTACCATGTGGGTGCTGGGAATCAAACCCAGGTCCTCTGGAAGAGCAGCTAACTCTTTTAGCCTCTGAGCTATCTCTCCAGCCATGAGACATTCCAATGGCACATGCATGTCTTCAGCCAGAGAGTGGAACTCTGACAGAGAGGGGTCATCTTTTCAGTGTGTATCTCCAGACACTGTGGATTGGGTCAGTGCTGTTTGCCTCCTAAATGCCTTTGTTGTCATCAAGAGAGACAGGAGAGAGACCCTGAAAGTAGTAGTGTCACCTTCTGGAGAAAGATCTACAATATTCTGTATGTGTGTTGCATGTTTGTGTTTGTGTGTGTTTAGGTTCACTTGTATTTGTGAATGTGTGTGTGTGGGGGGGTTGTTTGGTTGGTTGCTTTTTTGTTTTTTTGAGATAGGGATTCTCTGTGTAGCCCATGCTGGAACTTGCTTTGTAGACCAGGCTGGCCTTGAACTCACAGAGATCTGCCTGCCTCTGCCTCCGGAGTGCTGGGATTAAAGGTGTGCGCTACCACCACTCGGTTTGTGTTTATGTTTGATACACATTCTGGGACTGAATTCAAGTCCTCCTATTTGTAAAGCAACCATTTTATTGACTTAGCCAACTTCTATCTCCAGAGTATCATTATTTTTGAAATAATAACTTAAATTTTATGTGTGCATATGTGTGTGTGTGTGTGTGTGTGTGTGTGTGTGTGTGTGTGTGTGTAGACAGAGAGAAGAAAAGAGAGAGGGGGGGA